TGAGTGTGAGAGTGAGTGTGTGTGTGAGTGTGTGTGTGTGTGAGTGAAGAGGATAGCTTTCGGATAGCGCATCAAGAACGTCTCAGGTTACTTATGTAACCATGGTTCCCTGAGTAGGGAACGAGACACTGCGTCCTCTAGGGGTAAGTGTGTGTTTGAGTGTGTTTGAGTGTGTGTGTGTGTGTGTGTGTGTGTGTGAGTGTGTGTTTGAGTGAGTGTGTGTGAGTGTGTGTGTGTGTGTGTGTGTTTGAGTGTGTGTGTGTGCGTGTGTGCTGTGCAGTTGGACTTATCAGAGATGTTTCTTGCTGCTTTTCACAGATTAAAGCAGCCGAGGTCACGAGCACCATTTCCCACAATCCTTCACTACAGATCAGTTGAATGAAAGCGCACACACTGAAGCGCAGTGCCCGTCTTCACCTCGCTTTGAATTACTGATCTTCTCTGGGTTTTGGCTGTAAGTAGACTTTGCTTTCACACACAGCTCATATAATAATGGCCATTCCAGCGGCTGCTTGTAGATTTTCGTCTTTCTTTGCTGTTTTCTCTCTGTTTGTTGTTAGCAGCAGCATGTGTGGTTTCCTCTTATTTTTTCAATTAATCGATTAATCGGATAAAAAGCCTCTTTTTGTTTTGTTTTTTAATTGACAAAACACACTATTCCACATCCTGACCAATGCTGTTCTTCAAGCAAACGACTGAATGCTATGGAAACATACTGTATGCTGAATATATCTCTGTGCTATACATTATGAGTTATAAAGAACCGTTTAAACAGACAAATGGACAAAGGACAGTTATATAAAAATGGAAATAATAATGATTTAGATAGTAAAGAAAAACTCAAACTCCTTCTGCAGGAGCCCACACATTCACAGGACAGGACGAGCCGTGTTAAACATCACACTAATGCATTAGCTTGAGTTTAAAATGAAGCATTCTCATGTTTCTGGATCCTAATCTGACGGTTCATGAAGTGGTCAAACATTTTTAATCCTCAAGATTTCTATTCGTCACATACACAGATATATAAAGAATGCGACCTGCAGTGAAATGCGAGTCTGGCCTGGACTGCGCATGAAGTTTATAAAGGATAAACAGAGAAATAATAACGAAAACACAAGTAAACCTGTGTGACTGAGACAGCGGTCAATAGTCGAATGTGCAGAAATAGGAAGTTGTGCAGTTGTGGGTGCACACAGTGATCAATGGCACATCTGACACTGAGTGCTTTAGCTGTGTCGAGGATAACTGCGGTCCTGTGAGCGTGTTTTCAGTCAGTCATCTCTGTGTTTTCTGTCTTTCAGACTCACAGAGGCACTCGGGGAGCTCATGAAGACTGAACGCGATGAAGACGCCGCTCAGGAAGGTGAGAGATTCAATTCTGCCTCAGTTCTTCATTAAATAAACAATTAAAGGGGGGAAATGGGGTAACACTTTATTTTAAGGTGTCCTTGTTACACATGTACTTGCTATTATAATAACAATAAATTATGCATAATTACATGCAAGTAACCCTAAGCCAAACCCTAACCATATAGTAAGTTCTGTCATGGCAATAACATGACAATGTTAAAGGGATACTCCACCCCAAAATGAAAATTTTGTCATTAATCACTTACTTCCATGTCGTTCCAAACCCGTAAAAGCTTCGTTCGTCTTCGGAACACAATTTAAGATATTTTGGATGAAAACCGGGAGGCTTGTGACTGTCCCATTGACTTGCACTGTCAAGGTCCAGAAAAGTATGAAAGACATCGTCAGAATAGTCCATCTGCCATCAGTGGTTCAACCGTAACGTTATGAAGCGACGAGAATACTTTTTGTACGCGAAGAAAATAAAAAGAACAACTTTATTCAACAATTTGTCTCCTCTGTGTCTCTCCACATCACCGTAGCGCCATTTTGGAGAATATCCGCTGGACGCAAGCAGCGTACACTCTTCTGTGTCGGCCAGAACTCTGTATTACATGAAGTTAATTAATATTACTTAATAGTACTTAAATGTATAATTACACTGTAACAAGGACACCTTAAAATAAAGTGTAACCAAAAATGGTTTAACACTAGTTTTGAACACTGGGTCTTCAGTAATATTGCTGGTCTGAGGATAACTGACTAGACAGTTAGAGAAGTTAACTAGTGAGTTAAATATTTCAGCGGTGGTGCATTTAAAAGCAGTGTCTTAATCAAAGGGATGTACTGATTTGTTGAATGTCAAGAATCCAGATGTGTGTTTAATGACTCTTTATTACAGATCAACCCATATTTCTGATGGTCGATATAAAGCCAATATACTGTTTGTTTGATAGGATAACAGAAAAACCGATTGGCTGATGATATATTATCGTTATACAGGGCTTCTTGAACACTGACTAGCAGATCATGCATTTTTGCTCATTCCTGTCTGACGGTGATCGAGTGTGTGTAAAAGTGTGTTTCATAAGCGACTGTCGTAACGCTTGGAGTTTACTGCCGTCGTTTCCTCGAGTTTTAATATGCTCGTGATGTCATATCCATGTTTATGATGTGTCATATTCTCTGCTGAACTCACTGACTCGGTTTGGCTCTGCTGTTGTTATAGTACAGGAGATCTGATATCTCTGGCTCATAAATGAGTGCAGTGGATTGTTAACTGTGCAGGATGTTTCAGGCTTGATTAGAGTCTCGGTGTCCGAGGCTCATGTGACTGAAGCGTGAGAGTTTCTGTCACTCTGAACAATCTTGCGAAAGCTCTCCGGCTCCGTGTCTCATAATGAAGGTGGTGTGTGCTGTGTTTCAGAGAGAAGCCCGCAGGAGCCTGACTTCTACAGCCCTGTGTCTCCTGACCCGCAGGAGCCCGTCTCCACCTACTTCGAGGAGAAGGTTCCCATCCCTGATGATGACGGAACAAAGGTACCTCGCCGACGGGAACATCATTTCATCCCATTATATTCAACAATACTACCAACTTCTGCTCCGTTTATACTTTTGACTTCTTTGATTTTGCTTTTTTAATATCAAAACCAGCTTGTGTTTTGATTTAAATCATCTTTTGTTTCTCATCATATGCACAAGTACACCAAATTGATGTTATGATAATAAGCCAGTAATACATCAGTGACTATAAAACATCAGGTGGATACTTTTATTTCAACATTGAATTTCAAAATGTTAAAGGAGTAGTTCACCCAAAAATGGAAAATCTGCTGCATGTGCTCGTTCTCAGGCCATACAAGATGAACATGAGTTTGTTTCTTGATCTAGATTATAGCAGTGCGGTTTTATGAGAGTGACGGAGCCGTTATCAGGCACATATGTGTGTCAAAGGTCATGCACAAGAACACAAAGTGTTCTGTCAGATTGTGATGTTTGTCATCGTTACGCTCTATCTCATGAATTAGTCCAAGCACGAGATGAATCTTGATTTCCTCGAGCACAAAAAGAGGAAGAGACTCTGAAGAAGCAAATGGAAAAACAGACACATTCAAAATGTTACGAAAACAAGGTCCCGCTCTGTGGTCACCCCTCATGTGATCCTCAGAGGATATAAGAGCAGAGATCAAACAGATCAGCATGTACCCAAGCACCACAACCCTGTGATCCTGTTCAGTGGCATTTGCTGGTGTTAGGATGGTGGAGAAGTGAAAGCACAGGGAGCGGGTGACTTCACGGCTCAGGAGATAAACTAGGGAATGGCACATTTCCCTTCAACACATGACATCTTCAGCTCAAAAATTCAATTCAATTCAAGTTTATTTGTATAGCACGTTTCATGATATAAATCGTTGCAAAGCAACTTTACAGCAAATTAAGTTTCTACAATATTTAGTGGTAGCTTATCAGTGGTGACTGTCAGTTAATGTACATATGGTAGAAATGTAGGGGAAAATCAATTAAAGATGTAATCAAACAGACGATGAACATTATTAACAGCAATTATTATATGATGCAATCAAACTTATAGCAAAATGTGGTAGTTCTGTATGTTGTTTCAGGGTTGGCATCATCTGAGGTCCTCTGAGGGGTTGGCATCATCTCTTCTCAGGTGTTCTGGATCCAGACTGAAGCTTGTGTAAATCCTAGTTACCACGGGATGTCAATCCCAGCAGAAACAGAGAAACAAATAGAGACATAATTATTATAATTAGATTATGAGATGCATTATTTGAATGCTTGGCCAAAGAGATGTGTCTTTAATCTAGATTTAAACAGAGAGAGTGTGTCTGAACCCCCGAACGTTATCAGGAAGGCTATTCCATTGTAAAGCACTGCAGTTTATCTTTTGGTGCGATGAATGAAGCTGAAGTATAATACGCTGTAGAATCTACATTTGTTATTGTATTTCTGATGTTATCTATTTTATCAGTGAAGAAATTCATAAAGTCATTACTATTAAACTGTGAGGGAATATTTAGATCGGGTGGCGTCTGGTTATTTGTTAATCTAGCCACTGTGCTAAATAAAAACCTTCTGGAGTGCAGATTTCAGATCCAGCCGAGCAGCTGCTGTTGAGATGAGTGTGACCTGTATTGCTCTTCCTCTCTCTAGCTGTTTAGCTTTCGTAAACTCTGGGCCTTCACTGGACCGGGTTTTCTGATGAGCATCGCGTATCTGGACCCTGGGAACATAGAGTCAGATCTTCAGTCTGGAGCTATAGCTGGATTCAAGGTGAGTCCAGAGTTCATGTTCAGTGTCTGCACTCATCTGAGCAACACTACGGTCATACGGTCCAGTGTTGCTGCCTTCATTTACATCACGGGCTCGGCTGCTGGCCGTTCTGATTCCTTTTGATGAATCTGCTGCTAAATGGCTCCATTAGCAATGCTTTTAGTGCTTTGGATTGTGAAATATTAAAAAAGCAGTCTGTTGCCAAACGATGAGATTCCCCCTCGTCCTGTAGCAACACCAAGGTCACAAGATCAACTCAGGGAAAACAAGAACTGATGCAATGGCAGCCTTCAATGGAGTGTAATGTAACCCCATCAATAAAAGTGCAAACATAAATCATTTCATTTTCAACAGAACGGACGTGAGTCAGAAATGTGTTTACACTGACATTTGGTGACTTTTCAGTAGAGCTGACACCAATAATTGCTCCTAACTTAAATATTGAACACATCTTATTAATTTATTCAGTTTTATAAATTAATACTGACTACAAAAATACTCATTTTGTGTATCTTTAACGGCATGATGTCATATAGAGATCTGTTGAGAGTCAGTGAAACAGCACAGGACACGACGAAACTGGTTAAAATGAGTGTGAGTCAGATTGATTCAATAACTGCTCAAACTGATTCCTAAAGGATTTGATTCAGTGAATCTGCTCATAAGAGTCATTTGGTGTGGAGTTGAGTGACGGCGGTCACAGGAAACGCTCTGATCACGTCGCTGTGAGAGTGAAGTGTTACAGGACCCGATTCACTTACAGTATCAGTATTGTGGTGTTAAATGAGTGTTTATGCCGCAGCTGCTGTGGGTTCTGCTGGTCTCCACCATCATCGGGCTGCTGCTGCAGCGGCTGGCCGCTCGACTCGGCGTCGTGACCGGGATGCATCTGGCCGAGGTCTGCCACCGCCATTACCCTATGGTGAGCTCATGAGCCAGACTGACGCTCTGCAGAAATACTGCACCTTCTGCTGCTTCACACTTCAAGTGCTGTCCTCTCCACTTCAACAACCTCTATTCATATAACAAAAACTACTTTCACATTCATTTTTCACACACTGCTGTTCAAAAGTTTGAAATAATTAAGAATTTTGTAATATTTTTCTTTTATTCTCGGACTGCATTAATATGACCACACATACAATAAAAACTGTAATATTGTGAAATATTATTACAGTTTTCTCTGTGAATCTCTGTTAAACTGTAATGTATTTCTGTGATGCGCAGCTGTATTTTCAGCATCATTACTCCAGTCTTCAGTGTCACATGATCTTCAGAAATCATTCTAATATGCTGATTTGCTGCTCAAGAAACATTTCTGATTATTATCAATGTTGAAAACAGTCGTGCTGCCCAATATTTGTGTGGAAACTGTGATGCACTTTATTTTATCAGGATTCACAGATGAATAGAATGTTCAAAAGAGCAGCATTTATTTGAAATCGGAATCTTTTGTAACATTATAAATGTCTTTACTGTCACTTTTGATCAGTTTAATGCATCATGGATGAATAAAAGTATGATTATTATGATTTCTGAAGGATCATTTTTCAGCCGCACACGAGTTTCACGATGCTTCTCGTCCATGTTTGGGTTGTTTAGAGAGTGTGCTCCTCCTTTACACAACACTGATGCAGTGTTAGTACATTTTACCAGTTGATGGAAAATAATCATTCTAAAAATCTAAATAATTCACGTTATTTTAAGGTTCCCACAGCAATGCTGTGCATGTTCATTATGGCGATATACACTGTGTTACCGAACACTGGCACGTGCCTGCTGTTTCTGCCGGCTGAGAGCTGCGTGTGTATTAGTGACTGACGGCGCTGTGTTTGATGCAGGTGCCGCGGATCATCCTGTGGCTGATGGTGGAGCTGGCCATCATCGGCTCTGACATGCAGGAGGTCATCGGCTGTGCCATCGCCCTCAATCTGCTGTCAGTCGGCAGGTACATCATCATCATCATCATCATCACACGACTGACAGAGTCACTTCATGTGTGCTTGTTTAGCATCTGTGTCCAATACACATCAGCTTCTCATGTATGTGACATCAGCTGTACTGGGTTCAGTGGGTGAAGATTTCACGTTAACCTTTTCCTCTCACATATTCAGTTACCATATATTTTTCAGAACTATTAGACTATCCGCAGGCCATCTCAGATCAGGATGAGTTTGTTTCTTCATCAGGTTTGTAGAAATGTAGCATTGCATCAGTGTCTCAGCAATGGATGCTCTGCAGTGAATGGGTGCCGTCAGAATGAGAGCTGATAAAAACATCACAATAATCCACAAGTAATCCACAGCACTCTAGTCCATCAGTTAACATCTGGAGAAGACACAAGCTGAAACAAATCCAGCATTAACACGTTTTTAACTAAAATACATTGAGTGTATAATCCATAATAACGCTTCCTCCAGTGAAAAAGTGCATCTGCTGTTGTCTCTCACATCAAAATCCAGCCACATATTAGTTTAGAGCTGTTTAAACGCTGCTTGATCTGTGCAGATTTCTCTCCTGATTCAGACCAGAACACTTTTTCACTGGAGGAAGCGTTATTATGGATTATGGACTCAATGTATTTTAGTTAAAAATGTCTTAATGCTGGATTTGTTTCAGCTTTTGTCTTCTCCAGATGTTCACTGATGGACTGGAGTGCTGTGGATTACTTGTGGATTATTGTGATGTTTTTATCAGCTGTTTGGACTCTCATTCTGACGGCACCCATTCACTGCAGAGCATCCATTGCTGAGACACTGATGCAATGCTACATTTCTACAAACCTGATGAAGAAACAAACTCATCCTGATCTGGGATGAGCACATTTAATGCTAATGTTCATTTTGAGTGAATTATTCTTTGATCAAACTGACATGTATAGCTATAATTGTCCTTCTGATAAATATTAATGAGCTCTTCACAGTGTGTTTATTGAGGGATTGAGTGTTTGAATTGATTGAGGATGTGTAGAATCGGAGTTCATTCATCTTGTTGATGGTTGATGTTCTTCTGCAGGATTCCTCTGTGGGCTGGAGTGTTGATCACCATCATTGACACATTTGTCTTCCTGTTTTTGGACAAGTACGGTAGGTCTGCACTGAAGGAGCATGAGAATGATCACACCGGCTGGTGTCGTGGCTCTAATGCGAGTGTCTGGTCTGTTTTCTTCAGGTCTGAGGAAGCTGGAGGCGTTCTTTGGGTTCCTCATCACCATCATGGCCCTCAGCTTTGGTTACGAGGTTCAGTGCAGCTGCAGCGTGTTGTCAGGAGGTGAATGTTGAAGCAGCGGGTGTGTGACGTGTCTCTCTGCTCTGCTTGTCTGCAGTATGTGCGTGTGGCTCCAGACCAGGCCGCGGTGCTGAAGGGCATGTTTGTGCCGTACTGCAGCGGCTGTGGACCTGCACAGCTGGAGCAGGCCGTCGGGATCGTGGGAGCCGTCATAATGCCTCATAACATCTACCTGCATTCTGCTCTCGTGAAGGTCAGTCTACACACCTGAGTGATCACATCACAGAAATAACTGCATGAAGTGTGTGTGTGCGAGTGTGTGTGTGCACGTGAGTGAGTGAGTGAGTGAGTGTGTGTGCACGTAAGTGAGTGAGTGAGTGAGTGAGTGAGTGAGTGAGTGAGTGTGTGAGTGGGTGTGTGTGTGAGTGTGTGTGTGTGTGAGTGAGGGAGTGAGTGTGTGTGTGTGTG